GCAGTATTCTTCTCTTCGGTTGCAGTATTCTTCTCTTCGGTTGCAGTGTTCCTCTCTTCGGCTGCAGTATTCCTCTCTTCGGCTGCAGTATTCTTCTCTTCGGCTGCAGTATTCTTCTCTTCGGCTGCAGTTTTCTGGTAGAATTTAGGCAAAACAGATGCCAAACTTGCCTGATTGGTCTCCAGCAACTTAAGAACACATGTGGTGCTTTATCTGCTGCTCACTGATGCTGATGGAGACCCTGGAGACCCTGGAGACCCTGCCTGATTCACATCAGCACTTGGTGCACGTGAAGGTCTTCTGTAATTAATGCTGTCAGCTCCGTGGCAGGTCGTCTGTGAACAGTGACTGGAGACCACTGGCGTCAGACAGACCATCCCCTCCTCTTACCGGCCAGAGAAACCACCATCAGCTCAGTGTAACGTTAGCCCCTCCAGCTGGACCGCAGCTTCAGTGATGATGCAGCCGTGTCTCTGAGAAGACACGTGCACAGCAGTTCCTCGTGCATCGTAAAGAAGCTCTCTGACGTGATCTTTGAATGACCAGGGAGCAAACACTCTGAACGAGTTGTTGCTTGTGTGGGTTCATTCTATAGGCGTTGCGTTATTTGTGAAGGGGACGTGTCCCGCCTCACATTTACCAAACGTTCATTTGACAGACCCACCTTCTCTAACTTCTGTGTCACTACCCCCCCCCCCCCCCTTTGGAAACCCCCCACCCCACCATTAACCATGACATATTGGTTCACGCAGTGCTTCATGAATGAATCCATTCCACTTGTTAAAAGGAGAATACTCGAAAGGACATCTACTTTATTCTGGTGGAGGACACCCAGCCCCCCCACCAGTGTGTCCCCCTGCATTACAAATACTTCTGACGCCCCTGGTAGCTCTCTGTCCGGACTCCAGTTGGCCCAGTTCAGTTTAGACAAGTTGTTCCCAACATCCAGCAGAAACTGGCCCATCCACCCTCCTGCACATAACTCTGTGTTTCCACTGATCTTATCACCCACACCAGACCATCATCTGCACATCAACATCTGCACATCAACATCTGCACATCAACATCTGCACATCAACATCTGCACATCAACATCTGCACACCTGGTTTCAATTCAAATGTTGTTCACTCCAAAACAATCACTTGTCTGTTTCTGAGTTTCAATGACAGTTGTCAAGTACTTCACAAGATATTTTGCTAACATAAAAACCCGAAAACACACGGACGGTCTAAAACTATCATGTCTTCAGTAGCCATGAACAGTTTCTGTTTCAGTTTTTAAATCGCTGTCAAACGTAATGTTTACAATTAATAACAAATAAATCCTTGTTTTTAGTTTAAAGAAGGTTCAGACTTCACCTTGAAGCAAGAACGAGATTCAAACCTGACAAGAAAACATAACCTGGTTAAAAAAAGGCACATTAAATACTGTTTCACCTTCTCCTGCTGCCGCCGACTGAACCTGCGGCCGAGCCACACCCTGAACACCAGGCTCCGGTGAGCTAGGCCACGCCCCCACGCGCTTACGTCACGGGGTCATGTGACCCATCCAACCTAACACGGATGCCGCCGACTGAACCTGCGGCCGAGCCACACCCTGAACACCAGGCTCCGGTGAGCTAGGCCACGCCCACACGCGCTTACGTCACGGGGTCATGTGACCCATCCAACCTAACACGGAAACAATACCTGGTACCTGCCTGTACAGTAATGATCAAAAACAGTTTCAGTCACGAGACAGAACAACACAAAGTTCACGAAGTAAACATCCGGTCAACAAAAAGTCAACAAGTAAAGAAACTAATTCATCACCATGAAGATCATCAAATAAACTAATTCATCAC